ACCCGCACTCTCTACTTATACAGCCTTGCTGTTGTAACATGTGCAGAATGTGGTTTGGCATTATCTTGCTGACACAAGCAGGGATGCCCCTGAAAAAGACGTCATTTAGAAGGCAGCACATGAACCCCTCAGCATTAATGGTGCCTTCACAGATGTACAAGTTACCTAGTAACACTGCCCCCATACAGTGGCAGACACTGGCTTTTGAATCTTAACAATAGGGCTGGTCATTTTCCTTTTTGGCCCCGACAACACGGTGTCCAATATTTTCATAAGCAATCAGAAAGGTTGACTCACAGAGGTCACAATGCATGTTTCTGCTATGCATCAGTCCATTTCATATGAGCTTAGTGAAATCAGCAGCATTGATTTCAGGATTAGAGTATATTTACAAAAAGAATTTAGTTCATAAGGTAAAACATTGAATAAGGGTCATTGAATAAGGGTCATTCCATTTGGAGTGGGAAACCGTGTCACAAAGGTTGCAGGGCTTAAAAAGATGCTTAAAATATTAGGCGCAGCTCCAAAAGTCTCTCTTCTGCTTTTAACAACACTGTTTGAGTGTTTGGGAACTGAGAAGACCAACTGCTGTAGTTTTGAAAGTGAGATTTTTTTCCCATTCTTGCTTGATTCAGGATTTCAGTGGCTCAATAGTTCAGTGTCTCCTTTGTCAAATGTTTTCAGTGGGCGACAAGTCTGGACTGCAGGCAGGCCAGTTTAGCACCTGGACTCTTTTACTATGGAGCCATGCTTTTACAGTACATGCAGAATGTGGTTTGGCATTGTCTTGCTGAAATAATCAATGCCTTCCCCGAAAAAGACGTCATTTGAAAGGCAGCGCTGCTTCAAAACTTGTACACATCATTCAGTATTAATGGTGCCTTCACAGATGTGCCAGTCCCCCATGCCGTGTGCACTAATGCACCCCCATACCACCACAGATGCTGGCTTTTGAACTATGTACTGATAACAAGCCGGATAGTCCCTCTAGGACCATCTAGGTACACAGTATCCATGATTTCCAAAAAGAATTCTACATTTTGATTCGTCGGACCACAGGACGCTTTTCTACTTCACCTTAGTCCATCTTAAATAAGCTTGGGCCCAGAGAAGGAGGCAGCGTTTCTGGATCCTGTTTATATGCGGTTTCTTCTTTGCATGGCAGAGTTTTAACTTGCGTTTGTGGATGAAGTGACGTGCTCACAGACAGTGATTTTCAGAAGTGTTCTTGAGCTCATGCAGTGAATTCCACTACAGAATCACGTCTGCTTTTTATGCAAGAGATTTCTCTGGATGGTTTAATGTTATTATGTACCGTAGATGACGAGATCCCTAAGTTCTTTGCTATTTTACGTTAAGAAACTTTATTCTTAAATAATGGTGAACCCTTCCACATATTCACTTCTGAAAGATTCAGCCTCTCTGAGATGCTCTTTATATACCCAGTCATGTTACTGACCTGTTGCCAATTAACCGAATTAGTCGTGAGATGTTCCACCAACTTTCCCAGTCTTGTTGCTGGCATCAAATTCAATATAGGCAAATATTACACAAAAAACAATAAAATTTCTCAGGTTCAAATTAATTAATTAATTAATTAAAAGATTAATTAAATTAGTCCGCTGTAGTTCTCTAACAGTTCTTTTTCCCATTGCGATTGGGTTACTTCTCAATCAAGGCCAACATCCAATTACAGGCCTATTGCTAATGTAACAGAGGAAGATGATGATGAATAGGTAGAAAAAGAAGAATAAGAAAAAAAATCTTGACTTCAAAGTTGTCCTCTATCTTCAAATGTGCCTTTGATTTATGCAGAGTTTACGCAGTTGAAAAGTCACTTTGCCTCTGGATTAAAGATAAAAGATTGGACGTGAATAGTGCCATTTGGCAGACGCGAGCCTCTAATCGGACATTAATGCTGCTTCAGTAGTACGGCTGTGATGAGGGGGGGGGTTATTTTTTTCTTTTTTTTTTCCTTCTCACTGTTTTGGCGTTCTGTTGTTGCTAAATCTCGGAGTGGCTGATTTCACGCGTGTGAATCAGGGGCAGATGGATTTAGAGCTGAAAGAGAGACAGCGAGAGGAGGAGGAGGAGTGGGAGAGAGAGAGACAGAGAGAGAGAGAGAGAGAGAGAGGAGAACAGTTGTGATGGGTCAGAGTCTTTTGTGGAACATAAGGAGCATTTATCCTACATTAGCCCAAGAGCAGCTTAGCTTTGATGTCTGACTTGGCTTTAGGAGAGCAGAGACGAGAGGACATGAGGAGCACTGAAATGGGCTGGGCTCTTTCTGTCTTTCATTGCTTTTTTTCCTCTTTTACTGTTTTACAGGCCGGCGCAATATAAAATGATAAGACTGTAATCGTTACACAGAACTTAGTGATATTAAATCTAGCTTTTCATTAGCTTATCCTTATTAACCCTTCAAGACTGTCAGAAAAGTGACCATTTCTGCCCTTTAATCCTCTGTTCTCCTTTAATGACATTCATAGAGAGAGAGAGAGATTGTAAAGCTGTTGTTGCATTCAAAGTTGTGTGCAAATGTTTAGGTGCCGCACTTTAATTACCCATCAACATGCACACCCCATTTGCCAGCATAACAGTAGACTGACCCAAATGCTGGGCTTCCTCGAGGAGAGGTCTGGAAATGGTTAAGCCAACAGCAACTCACAAAGTATTTGTTTATTTGTATTTATTCTAATGTTAGTGTCTTTGTTTTCTATTTTCTTCGATGCTTACTGTCCAGGGAAATACCTTTCCATAATATTTTTCCAATACTTCAAACTTTCCCGTAGTACTATATTTAAAATGGCTTGAAAAAGCCAACTTTCTGCCCTTTGTACTGTTATTTATGCTTTTTTTGTACCAGTCTCACAGGTTGCAGTTTTCAAGTTAGTACTACAAAAATGTGCAGGATCATAAAGCCTATATGGGAATGATGCACTTGCTGTTTGGGCCCGATTGCATGAATGGTTTTCATACAGCATTTGCTCACAATTTTTTTCCCCATAGGAAATGAATGGCAGAATGTTGAGAAAATTCATTGACCCTCAAAGACAGTACATAGACTCACATACATGCTAGAATACATATACACACAAATTACCAACCACCTGGGATACCATAGTAACGGCCTAGCAACACCTTACCAACCACCTGGAATTACATAGCAATGGCCAAAGTACACCATAGCAACCACCTGAGATACCATAGCAATGCCCAAACAAAACCTTAACAACCACATGGGATACCATAGCAATAGCCAAATAACACCTTACCAACCTTGTATAACATAGCAATGGCCTAGCAACACCTTAACAACCACCTGGTATAACATAGCAATGGCTGACCAACACCTTACTAACCACCTGGCATAACATAGCAATGGCCAAGCAAGACCTCACCAACCATATGGGATAGTACAGCAATGGCCAAACAGCACCTTACCCACCACCTGGTATAACATACAAATGGCCAAACAACACCTTACCAACCACCTGGTATAACATACAAATGGCCAAACAACACCTTACCAACCACCTGGGATAATGCAACAATGGCCAAACAGCAAAACAACACCTTAGCGACCACCTGGGACAACATAGCAATGGCTTACCAACACCTTACCAACCACCTGGTATAACATAGCAGTGGCGACCTGCCTTCCACCCTGTGAACACTGGGATAGGCTCCTGCACCTGCTGCAACCCAAGAGGATACACGGTTTAGATAATGTGTGTCTGCACACACCATGCTGTTATTGTTACATTGTTATTGCAATGTTATAGCATTAACTGCACCTTCTGTGAGTTAACACAATGCAAATTACCCTTCAAAATATAATATCAGCTAATATCTAACAGGCGATATGTAGGGTGACAGCCCTGTGCTGGTTCTCCTCTCTCTGCGCTCCACACTGCTGTTTTCCTCTGCAAATTGAGTATTAATATAAGATAGGGTTCAGTGGAGGAGATTAACCTCTTTACTGAGAGTGCTTTGAGGGCCGGTGTGGTAGAAGAGTGTTATAAATGCATTGTTATTGCAGGTCTTTTGACCCCACACTAGAGAGCTGAGTTCGAGCTGAATGCTCGGCCCACTTCAGGCCTCATTCTTTCACAGCTATTTCCAGCTACTTTTCACCGCTAAATTGCAGCATTTACACTCCACTTATGACCTTTGCAGCTATCACATTACAGACGATATGAAAAGAGGAGGTCAGTCAGTTGGATTGTGCTTTGTTAGCGATCATTCATGATGTCACTCGTTTGGTTTCTGTATAGCTGTGATGTGTTGATACACTGCTAGAGTCCATACAATGCTGACTGCCGACTCAAATATCTGATAACACTTTATAATAACGGGCCCTTATAAATAGCAGCGTAATCATTATCTAATAGTTTGTTAATAATAGGTAATCATTTGAACATTTGAATGAACTATTTAATTTGTGACATACAAATAATTTAGGAACAGTAAATTGTTATATTTAAGCGTAATTAGTAGTACATTGTGTCTGTATGAATACATTATGATTGTTCTTGTTTAAAAACTATATATTAACCACTTAATTATGATTAATGAATTATTCAGGAAAAGTTTGAGCATCAGCAAGATAGTAAATACAGATGTAATCATTTAAAACATGGTTCATTCATAATTATTATGAATTAATTTAAGCCAGTGCTTAATATTTCACGTTATATAATCTGTCAGTTATGAGATAGTTATTAACAAACTATAATTAATGATTAGCTTTCTACAATTTGGAATTGATTATTCACATCACTAAGTTAATGATTAATATTTTAAATGGTAACTTTTTAATGCATATCATTGCTGTCAAAACAAAAGCTTGTATCTCCATAACTTAGAGGTCCATTTCAGTCACAGCCTTTGGGAAATTTGAGATTCATGGGATCATTTTCTAAAAAAATCATAATCAAATCACACCAGTTCAGAGATTTACGTCTCTAATTATGACTGTTTTCTTTGTGTCTCTGTAGGAATACGACGATGGATACGGAACGGCCTACGATGACCAAGGGTACGACTCATACGACAACAGTTACAATAACCAAGGACAGAAGTAAGCGTGTGTGTGTGTGTGTGTGTGTGTGTTTGTGTGTGTGCGCGTGTGTGTGTGTGTGTGTGTGTGTTTGTGTGTGTGCGCGCGTGTGTGTGTGTGTGTGTGTGTGTTTGTGTTTGTGTGTGTGCGCGTGTGTGTGTGTGTGTGTGTGTGTTTGTGTGTGTGTGTGTGCGCGTGTGTGTGTGTGTGTGTGCGCGTGGAGCAGAGGTGGAGTGTAGGTGTGTGGAGATGGTGCTGAAAATAGATGTCTTTTCTTTGCACTCCGGTCATCTGAATGCACTGTCTGAAGAAAGGGCAGGTCTGCAGGGAGAGATGGACTATCTCAGGAGTTATTTATTTATTTATTTATTTATTTATTTATTTATTTATCACAGAGGTTGAAAGGAGAAGGTGCTTTCCGGCTGAGTTGGGGTCCTTTCAACTCTGTACTTCCGCCTGTTTTTTATTTTTTTTATTGCTATTTAAAATTAAAGTATTACTGAACACTGAAGAGTGTTGTATTCTGGATTTTGATTCACAGTTTTTTTTATGTAAAGTGCTTAAGGTTAGGTGCTGAATGATTTGTGCAAACTATTGCAATTTTTATGACCATAATTGTAATTGCATTTTAAATTACGCATAAATTGAGTTCCAGGCCTGTTTTTTTTGCCATTATGACCAGAATATCCACGTATTCCTGGCTTACGGCTTGAATGCTAAACATAGTCAGTTAGATGTAGTTGGATTTCACAAGCTCTGTCTTCTTAAGTTCAATTGCCTCTCCTGAAACAACATTATTAATAATGTAGTGTGATGTACGATAAAAGTTTCAGCTCTTCAGAGTTCAAAGTAAGAAATATACATCCAAGATCACCAATACTGGACCACCTTGTATTATAAAACAGATAGTTCTGGTCCGAAAATCTGATTGGCTGAGCCACATTCGAAGCTGTTGTAAAATCCAAAATCTGTCTAAGGCTGCTTGCAGGGACCATTGAGTGTACTAATGAAGTAACAACCTGTTTTCTGTTTAAATTGAGGGGCTGACAACTTATGTTCTTAACTAGAACTAGTCTGGTCAGTTAGCTAACGGGCTAAAAGAGCCAACAGCCTAAACAACTATCATTAATATCACAGGTATGAATTAAAGTACTTATAGTATAAAGTCGTGTCAAACCCAGGCTGAATCCTGAACGGCTCTGTAATCCCTAAATAGTGTTCTAGCTATGAAGGTTTAGAAATTGTAGCCTCTACAGCCAAACAGTGCATCATGTATCGAGTGTGGATGTGTCTGAATCACAAATGACTATTTCTTAGCTGTGTTTTGCACCTTTAGGCTGCAGGATCCAGTATTTGAATTCCTGCATAGTCAAAAAAGTATGTTTGTCAAAAAGTGTGTATTTTATTATAGGTCATGTTGACCGCTGTTTTATAATAGCTTCATGCCGTGCCTAAGAACACCCTTCCTGCACCCAAATTCCAGACTGAAAAGGGAATTTTCTATACATTCTTGAAATGTAATGATCCATTCCCAAACTAATAGTGGACACCATAGCCTTTGTGTTGGGGATATGGTGAGATTAGTGCTCCTTGTATATTTTTATTGTAGTCCGGCAGGATTTATAAGCTTGATGTATCTAGATATGGTTACAGAAGGTAATAAGGCACTATTTGTTGAAAGGGTGGCCTCTGGTTTTTGACAGGAAGCCTCCAACACTAAGTATAATATCAAAACTATCAGTATTTAGTTTATCTGCTCTTTGCTTTTGTGCACCACTTTAACTCTTCTGTCCCTCCAATCTTAAACTAAACCAGTACAGCTGTGTCCTCCCAACACAAGCTGCCCCCAAAGCTTTCACTCACATTAGATATGAGATAATCCACATGCATAAGGAAGGGGCAAGTCAAAGGAAAGTGTAAATATAATGCTACACAAACTAGGCAGATTCTCCTGGATAAAAAGGAGTGAGAAGGCGTTAATCACAGGAGTGTTTGCCAAAAACGTGGTACAAAAACAAGCCAAGGTCAAAACCCAGAGAGTGAATACACTGTACATGGGAATGAGCAAAAGAGAGGTTGAAAAACAGGTCCAGGTCAAAAGCCAAATAGAGAATCCAAAAACCAGAAACCAGAAATGAAAGGCAAGCAAGTCAAAAATATGGAAAAGACAAACGCCGGAAGAACGCTCAGTATGCTCTGTAGACGGGGAAGTACTTCACACAGAGTGAGTGGAACAAACCAGTGTTCACAATGAAACTGAAATGAGCTGCAGGTTTGACCAGTATTCCGGTGATAAGGAACGATGGAGTGGCCTGTGATTGGTGGGGGTTGTCATGGAATCTCCCATGGAATCCTGGGCAATGTAGTCCATGGATTCAACAGAGCCGACCAGTGAGGGGGATGCTACAAGGTGTGTCGCCGATGTGAAAGCACGACAGAAAAAACAAGAATTTCTCATTTTTGTGCGCAATCTTAACTAAAGCCCAATACTGTTTCTTACTTTTGTGTCACCTTGCCCCTTGGAACGGAGTTACAAAGGGTAGTGGTTGAAAATTTCTCTATGAAAAGAACTTTACTTCATTAACAGCTACTAGCGCTGCTCTGTAGGCGACCCTGCCAGTCTGCAGTGACAGCAGAGGAGGGTAAAGTTCAGCTCCTCACTGCTGGGCTTTAGTTACATTTAGGGCATCATATGCCTTCAAAGAGGGGGCAATTATTTATTATCACCCACCCCTAATTCTCCAGTGATATGAAGCTGAAGTCAGATATTCACCAGCTTCTTGTTCGACTTTTGAAAATTAGCTAGCTAGCTACTGAGACATCAGCCTAGTACTAGCTATTTTTATGCTTGTTATGAAGAAAATGACCTTAATACATTGAAACAACATTAAACTAAAACAGTAGAGTGGTTATAGTAATTTTTAACTGAGAAAATTCTCACATTTGTGTGTTTCTTTGGTCTCTTGCTCAGCCATTTTACTGATTTTTCTTTTTTTCTCATAACACTGTATGGATTGTGGCTCTGAAAAACCTCCAATTGGAGGGCCATGTAGCCCCAACACTTCACCCTACCCCTCTATCTCAACAATAATCGGGACACCCTACCCCTAGATGTGAACACAGTGAGAATGTAGGGCTAAGGGCTAAGTGATGGGGGCGAGGGGTGAAACGGGATTGGGCCAAACAAGTCTTTAGTCAACACTAGGTAGTTTCAAAATCTTTTTACTAAATTAGGTTGCTCCTCTAATCCATAAGTCATGTCTTAACTAGTAAAAACTAACCAATGTATAGGTTGCTTTACACAACAGACGGTAACGTGTTCTGAACCAATGTATAGACCTGTAAATACATGTAAAATGGGTTTGATTACTTCAGAAAACGATCAACCAACTTCTAAGACTGAACTTTGGAGCTGTGAATAAATATCCCTGCAGGTTTCTTTGAGAAACTGAAAGTGAGTCTCCTGAAAAGTATGGAAGCTGTAATAAAGATAAAGAGTGGACACAATAAACACTGAAAGGTTATATTTAGTTATTGAGGCTTCTTTGTAATTTCCTGTTGAATATATGCCATGACTGGAACTAAACAAAGGGTGGTGTCTGATTTTTACACTGCACTGTATATTCAGCAGTCTCAGGAAAATACACTCCATGTTCAAGCTGACATTTCAGTGACATGCAGCATTTTTCCATGAAGGAAAACATTTCAGCTGAATGTCAGTGGACAGTCCCTCTGGCCGGCCTTCTGTAAGTGTGAATATGAAAAGACACTGTTTATTTGTTTCTCTGTGTATTTTCCTGGCGATGATTGTTTTTGAGGGGGCTTAAGGCTGCAGATTACTGGTGGGGAGTGTTGGAGTGATGATAGTTTTCTGAGTGCTGGCAGGACTAAGTGAGGGTTCGGTTTTCACAAGGCAGCGACAGCCCTGCCATTTGATTTTTCCACATTGGGCTGTTTGTCTTCTGTCATGGCGGCTCATCAATCTCTCTGACTCCTGCGTTCCTTTATTTGGCGACGGGCTAGAGTGTGTGTTTGCTGCTTTGTTGGTGAGTTCGGGAGAGGTGCTGATGCTCGGAGCACTTAAGATGTCAGTGATGGCCAAATGGTGGGAGAAAATGGAAAAGAGCGAGGGGAAGAGATAAGAGTGCTGGTCATTTCAGTGATGTGTGAGCGTGATGGCCGGTGCCTTTTTGTGGAAAAGTCACAGCATTGACATCAGCAGAGCACTCGCTGAAAGAGCTGCATTCCTTTGGACATTACTCTCTTTCCCCTCCTGCGGACCCTCATGACACTTTACATTAAGGGTCACAAATTATTCATTTATTATGTTTTTAATAAGTCACTGATTGCTCTAAATTAACATACCAGTCAACTAATTGAGCAATTAATCAAGATTAAGAATGTATTTCCATGAAGGAGTAGATTAAGTACTTCACAATGAGTCATTGAGTCACTGTTAACTGATAGTTTCATTTATCATTACTTAACAGGGCCCAGTTTCCCAAATGCAGATGATGTTAACTTGTAGAGAGAGTGTTCTCTGTAATGCTCACTCTACCATTTAAGAATGTGCTAAGATGCTTCCAGGAAACCCAGTTTCAAACTATGGCTATTACAGCTAGGCCTTCAGTTCAGACCATTAATGTCAAATCTCCTCTACGATTAAGCTAATTTCATCTAACACGTCTATGGGACTCTAGTGGTATATTGGCTCTAAGCTAACACATGACTCACATAAACCATTTTTTGTCCGTCTTAGGTTAAATATGGACATTTAAAGCCTGTAAAAGACATTCAGACATTAACATGTATTTGACCTCAGTTTTACAGTGACTCAGTAAAGAGTCCTGACATAGAGCTGCTGCTGTTTTCCATTTCTAACGACTAACTGAAAACTAGTTAGACTATGGCTCATATTCACAGTCAGGGATGTATCTAGAACATCTAGAAGACCTAGAGTGATGTATTGTATCACAAAATTGGCCCCACCCATCGTAAACCAAAACGGGATTGGTTGATTC